TAATAATAATTCCCAATAATATATATATATATGTATATATATATATAATATATATAATAATTTTTTTGTTACTTATATATTGCGTTGCATTCGAGAATACAAGTGATAACGAGCATCAATTCCCATATAAAACAAATCGCTTAATCTAACCCACACCTGAACCCAACTGGTCATTTTTTACTTAATGGAAAGCAAAAGCGCAATTCGATGGTTTCACCAACCCCGATTTCGATTTTCAGAATCGCTCTTTGGAATGAATCATCGCCAAACTAGACATTCTCGAAAGGAACGGAAAAGAATTAAAATTCACGAATTTCTTAAGCGAAAGAAGTATTATAGACTTTTGAAGGTGGTTTTTAAACGATTCAGTCACACACATTAATGGTATGTATGTATCTATCTATCAATAAGATGACAAAAATACAAGTTAAAAAAAGCAGACGGACTGAAAGCGTTTGTCGATTCCATGCTTATAGACTGGTAATAGAATCATTCCGAGCTCTAGTCGCATACTGGCGTTTTCAACTTGTTGAGCGTTTAGGTTGCTGAGCAGTGCTGGCTGCTGTTACGCTATATTAGGCAGCATAACGTCACGACAACATCAATTCACCATAATCATATATAATCAAACCTAACAGCTATAACCTATTACTGATGTTAGCACTTACTACTTACAGCAACAGCAGCAGTAGCAGCAGCTACCAGCAGCATTCAATGGTGCTTCATCCATGCACTACGATCAATAACTAACTCGGCTTGTCACCCTCGTCAATAGTTCTTCAATTCTTTATTCATTCGTTTATTCACTCATTCATCAGAAGCATTCGCACGAAATCAGCTAATTCACTCACTCACTCACTTCCATCTTTATCCTCAACTTCCTGTTTTCCCAATCGCTCAGAAAGTCACTTCATCATGCGAATAGTTGCCTACTCATTAAAATGTGCGAAATTTCCACGAAGCACCCAATCGGTTTCAAAATAGCTCACGCGAATTCTTTTCGGGAAGTGATGCTTGCCATATGCTTCGTTCGATTTGCATACCGAAGAACGCTGATACAAGTGGAGCTGATGTCTTCATGAATTGAATGAGCGCAACGCAAACAGCGATTGTACATGAAATGGCCCTAATGCTAATTTAAGTGATGCATACGCTACTCTTAAGAACTTGTCGTGTTAGCCATCAATTTTTGTGGTTAGGAGATTGCGCGACCATAAGGATTCACTCTAAAAGTTAACAAAAAAATGATCAGAATCAGCGTATGAATCCTAAGCATAAATTTTCATAAGGCATGAATGCATTAAAGAATAACTGAACTCAACCATAAGCAATGATTGAGAACTTGGCATTCAATAATAATTTCAAAGAAATGCTTCACTTCAACACTAAAGTTCAGTTACATTGGGCGATCGTTTAGCTAACGAACGATAAATAATTTGAAACGAACTACAACCGGTCACTTCTTTGAACTAATATCATCATTAATTCTAGAATTATTTCCATTTCAGAATCTAGCGGATATGAAAGTCAGATGTCAAAATAAATTTAATGATGCATTTACGATAGCACATCATCGCCTTCCCCAACGCAGCAGAAAGTAATTGTAGTTCCATTTAGACACCGGGTATTCACCTGGGTAAGAGGCTGTCAATATTTCGATGTGGCATAAACACAGCAAGAACTTCCAGAGCAAATGGGTACGAAGACGGGAGACCGCAAACAAGGTCTCTGCTATTGAACATAACTGACTGTTATCTTATCAAAGCCGACTATTTATTGGGATTCGCTGTCATTCATTCTAGGATTTTATATTTGGTTTAGCTTGAATTACAAATTGAGAGTCTTCTTAATCGTTTGAACAAATGTTCAATTTGCATTTAAAGATGAAATTCGAGCGCTGGCGACAACTGTCGTATTCGGTTCAGTCATATGATAGCGCTGAAAAAGCATCAGTTAGTGTTTGTTGTTTCTTGGTGACGTTACAAAAAGGCATCTTCGTTTGATTGATGCAATCATTTTTGAGGTCTCTTATGTCAATCTAAAAGCTCACCGTTTCCATCTGCAGTACCACTCAATGCAAACTCATATCACCAGACAGCATCCTTTTGTGTACACAATTAAAGCAACACGGAGGAATATGCAATATATTCATTCTAAAAGATCAAAATGTTCCATTAGAACATGTCGATCTTCTCATGTGAAGTGAAATTTGCGATGAATATTTAAGGAGTATCAAAGCATNAGGATACTGAAATATGCATCAAGCGTTTTGAAATACCATAGGAAGAAATTTTGGAGGCATGTTCTGTGCAGAACTCGGATAATCGGTAGAGTGACAGCATAGAAGTGAACGAGAACATCCACTAGAAGTGTCATTGAGCAAAAAATTTTCGATTATGATTGGTAATTCAAACGGCGATATGGATGAATGGATGGGTGGATACGCTAATTCGCTGAGGTAACGAGTTGAATCGATAAGTTACGATAGAGGATACGATCTGCACAAGGTTTTTTCTTTGTTTAAAGGAAAACATTCTTCATAAATGTGCACAATGACCATTAAAATGAGCCCATGTAACGATCTGGACTAGAATCGATGTGCTGAATAAAAAAAATCAAATTTCAATTCAACGATGCTCTAGCATTTGAATCTGTCAAGATAGTTGAACGATAATTGCGCCTGTGAATGGACGTGATTAAAGTGAGATCTTGAGATGTGCACGAAAAAGCATCCTTCTAAAACTATTCTCGGTGCGCTAAGAATACATCAACTTTCTGCGAAATTACCCAAGTTTCTCGTCTGAATTCATTGAAAGCAATTGCTAACGAAGTCAGCACGTCAAAAANAAAAATACTCCACATACTTTTGTGAAGAGCTCAAATTGACAAGAAGAAGAAGAAGAAGGAATGCACGCTCCATGAGCAGCATTCAATCACGTTCAAGAACCATTCGAATGAGCTCTGCAGCCAGCCAATTCGGCTTATTTGGAACTGATCATGCGTAAACATCTATCCTAATCCGCGCTTAAAGCTTCTCTACGAGGATTTGAATATGAAGACGGCCATATGAGTAGCTAGCTGCTATTCGTCTTGTTAGGTTGCACAATTTTCGTATACAACAGATTTTTTGCCTATAAGCTGAGATGAATGAGCGATGAACTGAACGCATTCATAACCACTCTTGAATGCAAATTTGAAGCAAGAACATCAATGTACAAGTCAAGTACTGAGAATCAAGGACTGCGACTCTAGATGAATTATTACTGCAGTGTAAGCACACAAATCAATTGAGAAAGCCTTAAAGAGTCTTGGGAATTCTGCATTTGCAAAACCAACCAACAATGTTACAAAAAAGCTAATATTGGTTAAAGATTCTGCTGCTGCTGCTTATTATTATCACTGATAATCTCACCGTGGATAATTTATTACTATCATTGATAATCCGAACATTCACATTGTAGGACTGCTAACTTCAACAAGTTAGTGTAATGTTCAGTTATGGATGCATTGCGTCGTGCATTGCTCTGAAGACACTGGAGCTCAAAGATGAGGAAAAACATAGCCAGTTGAACGGAACTACTGCATGGATTGAAGCAAAACTACTTGAAAATATGGTCGGACGCAAGTTGAAATCGTGGAATAAATGATGATCTGTGGTGCGTGATGAGAGACTTTTTTGTTTGTTCAATGGTGTGTCTCGCAATCAATTCAAAGAAAGCAAGAATTTTTTAGTTAGAATATTTGAGTCTTGATTAAGTAATTGTGAAACATTCATTCCAGGAATATGTGTAAATTATGTGAATTCAACTTTTTTTTCACTGTTTCAACGCGTCTGTCAATCAAATTAGCTGATGTCTCGATCCCCCTCGAGGCAATTCTAATGAACCGATCATATCTTTGAAATCGCTCAACCATGAAAACGAACTACAGAGGGAATGATTACAGGACAGCCGAATGGCAGACGAGTGAAAGTGTTT